CTATACTGCCTCAACAAAACAGAATGCTAATTTTTCTTGTACCTTTCTGACTTTTTTTTGGCTCTCAATGGTCTTCAGCTGTTCAGCAATCACAATAAACAGAATTAACTACTCCTTTCTTTACGGTCTCAAAACATATTCTTGACAATACCTAGCATAGCAGATAACAAACCTTCAGTTATGTTTAATAATACAGTGTTATTTTTATTCAAAATTCTATTATAACTAATTGCTTTCATGCCTGTGTCCCTCACCAGACTAGAAAGGGCAAGAATCCAAGCCTTCATATATATGCTTCATAAATATATATGTTATATACATCTTTTAATAGCTAACAAAGTGGTCAAGTACTATTTGCAAAATTAGGCTGGACTGTGCCTTCTAACTACACTGTCCTTTGAGTATGTCACCCATCTGTCATCCAATCTTTGCTCACACCATTCCAAGCTCAGGCCCCATCTCCTCCACAAAGTCTTCCAAAACCACTTAAGCCAATGCTGATCTTTTTACTATTAGAGAATATTAGCTGGTACAGTATATAGTATAAAATGTCCTGTGGTTTTTGTTACATTTTCCTGAACTGAACACAATTTGTCCCCACTAGTCAATACACTCAACATCACGGACCACACCAATTTCTTGATTTACACCCACTGAGCCGAGCATTTTTCAGGTAATTGGTACTCAACGTATGGATGGATGAAGATGCAATGTACATCTGAGCTACGCCCTGATGAAGAGCTGACCGCGGTGGGTGTGGCTGGCCAGTGTTGGCAGGTATTTGCAAAGGGGTAATGTGGTGCCACGCCTCCCCCTCTGGTGACCGTACAAGAAAGCAGCTGCTAGTGGCAAAAAGAGAAGAACTGCACAGTGCAGTGCATAGACCAGGCAGCAGCTACCTTCCGACTCAGAATGATGCATCGAGGGGACACATAGAGACCACTTTAAAGTGCAGATATACTTAGGAAACCAAAGCCCTGGAAGGGGCCATATTCTGACAAAAGTCACACAGAACTTCAGTGGCAGAGCCTGCACCGAACCTAGGTTCCCACCTCCCAATCGAGAAGCCTTTACTACAAACTGCTCCTCCAATAATGTACCTGAAAATAAATTACCACAGAGGGATGTGAACTATTAAATCTTTCTGACTTTACCTCAAACATGTCAATCACTGGAAAAACCCTCAAATACCCAAGACACTCACTAAAACATCACTTAAAAGAATTACAAGTTCAGAGAAGAAAGTGGGGAAGGGCAATGCTTTTCTAGATTCCTCTTCCTCCACCCACCCTTGACTTTTAAGTATTCCCAGGTTCTCTCTCTGGCTCCTTTTTCACTCTAAACTCTTCTTTGGCATTTTTTATCTGCAGCCTACAGCTTCTTCAACTAGCGCTTAGAGACTAAGAATTCCCAAATCTAAATCTCCCAACCAGACTTCATTTTAGCTCCCACTCTGTGTATTCAACTGCACTCTAGACATCTCTACAATGTCCCACAGTCACCTTAAAAAAACCTCGACATTACAAAGTCATCTTGTCCCCTCCCTCCAGCCAACCAGCACCACCCCCCCTTGTGGTCGCACCGCCTACCTTGGTGAACAGTGCCGCCTGGCCATAAACCTGTGTCAACCGGGCTCTCTTTCATTTCTCTCACCTCAGACACCAAGTCTTATCAATTCTCTCTCCTAAACACGGTCGGTTCTAGTACCTCCACCCAAATCATCCTCTAAATAGGGGTCTCCAAAGTTTTTTGATTACTCACCTTCATCACAAAGGAGCTTTTGGCATGCATGTACCCAAAATATATGCATGTTTACTTATAAATTAAAATACAGGTATACATCTATGGCAATATAGTAAGATATTATACATCATAATGAAAAGTTTAAAGTGATGAGATTTAAATATATATATGTAACAAAATAGTAAGCCTAAAATTTTGTTCTTACACTCCAATAAGTCATTTTATACATCGCTGGGGGCCAAGAACACATGCTGTGGAGAATTTGTATAAAGAGATTGGTCCTATAAGAAACATATACATGATGCATATGTGTAATATGTGTATTTATATATGTATTTGACACAGTTTCTTTTCTCATACATACACATATTTGATGATGAGGTGATTTACACATGCTTAAGCATATTGCTAAACGTAGTCAACCCTATCTTGTAAAGCCACAAACCAAAAATAAAATTTAAAGTTAGCTGACTTCTAAATACCCACATTATTTTATAAATAAAAGTCCACTGTCTTATAAATATCCATTTTTAAAACAATGAGAAGTTTACAAAGTAGAGTTTGGCTCCTTTTGCACACAGCTGAAAAAGATGAACATTTTTTTCACCTACCTATGAAATATTCTAAGGCTGCAATATTATGAGTTCTACGGCCTGCACCTCCTTTAACCTACGAACATATGGTAATATTCTATTAGTTTCCTACAGCTATAGGTGAAGCTACTATTTTAGGATTCAGAAGATTAATGTACTCTCCCCTAAGATTCAGAAGATTAATGTACTCTCTTAACCTCCCTACTCTGTGACTCAAAAAAAACTCCCAGAACATATAACCTAAGTCAGAATAAACACTGCTAATACAGTAATTCAGATGTTTACATATTTACACAATATAATGCTCCAGGATTCCACATACAACCTTACACATCCTAACTCTCCATGTAGAGTGGGGAAAACTCTTATGAAAACTAGCAGAACATTAAACTGTTTACTTTTCATTATTACAAAGTGACCAGATGTACCCAATGTCATTCCTAGAGTTAGGAATTTATCAATGTAGAACTACATTTTCATTCAGTGATGGTAATTTAGGGCAGATTTAACTTACACTGGCCAGAAAGTTAAGAAAACTGCCTCATTGTTAAAGTTACTAAATCCAGTGATTTTCAAAATCGTTAATTCAATATTTTTCATGTACAGAATGTTGATCAAAAAATACCCTTAATATAGACTTCACATTCTTTAAAAAATAAAAAACAATATCATAAATACTTAAAATTGTAGGTCTGTGAAGTCAACATAGGTAAGTTAAACTGGGGTTTATTCGCTTTCTGTCTACGGAAGCATTAACCATACTCCTTTTAAGTAGCATTCTAATAGAAAATCTCCATTTCATACTGAATTTTTGGATAAGTAAAACAATTTTCTCCCCAAATGCATGTAATCAAAATATCAATGTTTTCTACTTATCATTTCATCATCTTCAGTGTAATATTGATCAATGAACCAAAATTATTCAAAACTATGAGAATTATAATGGGACTCTTAAGGAAGGCCTCTCCCCTCTAGGCCTTGATGTCCACATATGTGGAATACGTAACTTCTGACTAAAACTCCTTAATCATTTCCCAAAGTGGTCTATTATACAAAGTATTGTAAAGGGATATGCAGTAGAAGAAAGCTGTCTAATCAAAACTCATCTCACATGAGTTATTTTTGTACCATCAAAACAACAATAAAAAAATAACTAACAACCTAAATAACTACCCACCTAAATATCGATGTGGAATGCTGGCTCAAAGAAACCTTACTAATAACGTTCCCAATTACATTCTGAGCTCTCTAAAAATCTTTTTACCATACCAAGGAAGGAAGGAAAAGGAGTCAATATTTATTGAGCATCTACTCTAAGCCAGGAGTTTTGCATTTTACATTTGATTTTCACAACTAGACCGCAGCTAGGAAGGTTACTTGTGGCCCCAAACATGGGCTCTGGAGCCAGACCCCATGGGTTCTCCAGGGTCTCCTGGATGACGACCACAGGCGAATACCTGTACCTGTTTTTCCATTTGTAAACTGAGGATAAAAACAATGCCTACCTCATTAGATCAGCTCCAGAATTAAATGAGATAATACATGCAAAATGCCTAGAGCTAAGAATGACTCTCCCTGTCGTTGTAATAATAATCATAATATTTTTTATTAGCATAGGTATTCTTGTTCCTATTTTCTAGATGAGGAAAGGGAGGATTAGAGAGTACAATTTCCTAATGATCAGACCAATGAGTGCTAGGTTTTGACTCCAAAGCACAAACTGGATGAAATAAAAATTGCTTAGGCATCAGATATGAGGATTCTCATAAATCCAACTTAGTAAGAAGCATAAGAAATGACACGCAGCAAAGCGATGTCGGGCGCAGGCCAGGCTCTAACCCTCGCGGGGGTCTGACGCTGGGCGGGTCATGACCTTTGCCCCCGTCCCGGGGCGCCCGCGCCGGGACCGCGGCTGTACCCGCGAGCAGCCTGGGCTCGCGAGCACTGCTGAGGGAAAGCACGGCCACGCTGCGCCTCCTCTGCCCGGCGGCTCTGCGAGGCCAACTTCTGCTCCGGCCCTGCTCAGCTCCCCCGCGCGGGGGCCGACGGCCGCGCTCGCCTTCTGGACGTCGAAGGACGAGCGACTGAGCCCGCGGGCGCTGATGGCCAGGCTAGGCGCTGCTCAAAGAAAAGGCAGCCAGCGACGGAAGGAGGGACAAAGGGCCAGAAACCGTCTGGGAGCGTTTAAAATCCTCAGACGTCGAGTCCTCCGGAAGCCTGGAGCCGCTCCCTCAGCCGCACACACCGGACCCGGCGTGGACAAGCGGGCGCAGGTCTGACACGTTACCTCGGCGCTCAGGCCACAAGACAGGTCAGGGTCGTTAGAAACGGCAGGTGTCTGGGTGGCCGGTCGGGGACCCCGGTTCTCCACACGCGCCCCCCGCCCCCGCGCCCCGACGTGACAGCGCCCAGGCGGCGACTCTCCCGGGGCCGCCCGCGCCGGAGGAGGGGGGAGCGGGGGCCGGAGGAAGGTCTGAGGGAGAAGCGGGGCGGGCGGCCGCCAGCGCTACTTCCCCGCGGCCCGGGGGCTGGAATCCCGCCCCGCCCCCACCCGCCGGGCGGCCCAGTCCCGCCGCAACGCCCGGCACAAAGGGCCCGGCCCGGCGGCGCACCGGAGCCCGGAGGCCGCGGCCCGCTCCCCGCCGGAGGCCCGCCGACCCTTACCTTCTCCGGGCGGCGTCCGGCCCCGGCGCTCGGCTCGGGCCTGCTGCTCCGCGGCTCCCGCTCGGCCTCTCCCGCGGGCTGGCGCGGCCTCCCGGGTCTCGGGCGCGGCGGGCGGCGGCGGCTCCTCCTCCTCAGGGGCGGGAGGAGGAGACTCGGCCGCCCTCTGCCACCTCCCGGCAGGAAACGACCCCGCGGCACCGCCTCCTCCGCGCGGCCGACCCTGCTCCCGAGCCTGCCGCCGCCGCCCTCTCCCTCCGGAAACGCATTCCTCCTGGCCGCGTCAGCCCGGCCCGAGGCGAGGAGGAGGAGGAGGAGGAGGAGGAGGAGGAGGCGGCGGCGGCAGGAAGAACGCGGCCCGGGACAAAGGAGCCGGCCAGGGCGGGAGCGGGCCTGGGGGAACCGCAGAGGGCGGGGAAAGGGACTTCCCCAAGGCCTTCGCGGCGCCTCAGTTTCCCCTTCTGCTAAGGGACGGAGGTGTCGGGCTGTGCACCGGTGCCCCGCACCGCCCTGGACTCTCTTCTTGGGCCTGTCCTAAGCTCTGCTTCCCCAAAGCCGCACGGCTGAGCGACCGTCCCGTTTGCCCCGTGCTGTCCCGGGTTGAGCCCTGAAAGTCCCAAGGCAAATCGGGATGGTTAGTCACCCACCCTGCGGGGCTTCGTGGGGCCAAACCAACGTAGTCCTTTTGGAAGGGAATTAGCTAAAACTGGTGGTGCTTTTCTGGAGTGATAGTGTGCGCTTGACGTGTGTCTGTGAGAAAGGTGAAGGAAGGAGACAAGTGGCTTGAAAGATGGGGGTGGGGAACGTTTTAGAAAAACTGGTGAGTTGGAGGCGCTGCTTTTGATAGATTTATTTAAGGGTCTGTTTATGGGGAAGGGGCATGAGAAGGAAAAATTTCATCCTGAGGAGTACAGTTTCAGTTTCCCCTCATTTTTTTTTTATTATTAGGTAGAGATTGGGGCTGGAAGAACATTTAAAAGAGAAGGAAACAAACATTCATTATGATAGTGTCTCGGCACATTTTGATTACACGATTCAAGCCTGTATCAGCCAACATCATACTGAAACCCAGTAATTCAGAATATGCTACTGGCAGGCTGCCATCCTGTTAGAAAATGTTGCGGGTTGACACCTGGTGAGCTACAGCACCCTGTTAGGAATAGAGCTCAAATTATGAGATTTATGAAAAGAGAAGTAATATTTCTCTTGTGAGAGATTAGAGGCCAGGATGCCACTTGGCTGCCACCGTTCTTTTTTTTCTTTTTAAAATTTTTTTTTTTCAGACAGAGTCTTGCTCTGTTGCCCAGGCTAGAGTGCTGTGGCGTCAGCCTAGCTCACAGCAACCTCAAATTCCTGGGCTCAGGTGATCCTCCTGCCTCCGGAATAGCTGGGACTACAGGCATGTGCCACCATGCCCGGCTAATTTTTTCTATATAGTTTTAGTTGTCCGATTAATTTCTTTCTATTTTTAGTAGAGACGGGGTCTCACTCTTGCTCAGGCTGGTCTTGAACTCCTGAGCTCAAATGATCCTCCTGCCTTGGCCTCCCAGAGTGCTAGGATTACAGGCGTGAGCCACCGCGCCCAGCCTGAAATGTCTTCTTTATTCACCTACTGTTTTCCAAAGTAGAGTTTCAAAGTTGCTCACCAGCAAAAACATCAGATGCCCAGGTTTGTTCAATTAGCCCTTAATTCCTATTTCTGTCTATAATTACAGGAAGGCTTACGGAAATGAAAGGAATCTTCAAATGGTGGGATCACAGTTTGCTTACTGACCTTTGTATCTAGCGGGTTGTATTTAATCACATGATTATGAAATACAAATAGGGAGTGAGAGTGAGCCAATGTTGGCTTCAGGAATGGATAGCTCTCTCTCATAGTTTGAGCATTCTTGGGACTTAGCCTCTCAAATCTTTGTCACTTACCCCTTCCAGGAAGCCACAGATCATCCCATGATAACTTGAAGATTTTTCAATGTTTGAGAGTGGAAACAACCCTAAACAGTATAAACTTTTATGGGCAAATAGTTAAGTATGTGTTCATTTATAAATCATTTCCCAAGTACAGTAACCATCAGAAGACAAGACCCCATGGGTTTGAACATGAATACCTGCAATGTGAGAATAGAAGTATCCTCAAGACCAAGACTAATTTTTTCCTAGGGTTGGCCATTGGCTGGCACAATCTATCCAGATCATTTTTAAATAAGCAGCTGACCTTGTGGTCCTGGTATGCCCAAAATAGCTCCAGCTTATCTGTGGTCAAAGCATGTTTAACGGTACCCCTTTTGACTCTCAAAAGCATGTCCTGGTGTGGCGATAAATTTCATGGTCACCCTATAAATCAGGGTGTCCAGGCAATGAGGAATAAGAAGAGTAATTTTAGAAATTCAAAGGGGATTCATAGGGACACATTGCAAATCAGGTTCCAGGTTTATAGATGAAGACCAATCCCAACATTGATGATAGTAATGGAAAAAAGTGTGTGTATGTGAGGGGGTGAGTATGCAGGATTAGGCAATTCCTGTGTGATGAAAATGCCCTACTAGAAAATTTAATTAAGGAAAAAATCTTGACAGTAGTCTAGCTGATCAATGGGACTTGAGTTTTAAATACATGGTAAATGCATGTGGTGGCTTCCAGAGCACATTAATTGACACTGACTAGGTAAGTCATCTTCTTTTTTTTTTCTTTCTTTTTTTTTTTTGAGACAGTCTCACACTGTTGCCCAGGCTGGAGTGCAGTGCAGTGTTGTGATCATAGCTCACTGCAGCCTTGAACTCCTGAGCTCAAGGCATCCTCCTGCCTCAGCCTCCTGAGTCACTGGGACTATAGGTGCACGTCACCATGCCCAGCTAATTTTTTTATTTTTTGTAGAGACAGGGGTCTCTTTATGTTACCCAGGCTGGTCTCAAACTCCTGGCCTCAAGTGATCCTCCTGCCTCGGCCTCCCAAAGTGCTGGCATTACAGGTGTGAGCCATCATGCCCAGCCTTTAGCTACTTTTCTAAGAACTGTTTCTACAGACCTCAATATATTTTTCTCATGTGTCACCTCCATCTACTGTGAATGTAACTCCTTCTTTAAACATTAAAAAAAGAAAAAAATGAAAGGATGGGAGTGGCAGAGAGATTTCTGATAACATCCTATAATATTAATGGACAAGTTCTTCTGAATCACGAATAATTTCATTCCTTTTCCCAAGAAACTAAAATTCCTCTTTGAAAATGTGAATATGCGTGTGCCTTTGTATAAAGCAGCCATGGGAATTATCAACATTTTGAAGAACAAGAAAGGGCAAGACAGTTCTTCCAGTTCCTCCTTTTTCTGTCTCCAAATATATAAATAACATGCAAATAGTCATAAAATTCAGAGAAACTGGAAGTTTATTTATTTTGTAACTTTTTTTTTTTTTTGCATGGGGGCTTCAATGTCCTGAACGCGCTTCAATACTCTTTCATAATTGCCAGAGGAACCATGAAAAATGAAGTTTGCTATGAGGCAACTGCCAACTGAGTATGTATGGCATGTGTCAGTGTGCTTGCCTAGCCTGCCGTTTTAGTTAGTGCTTCATTTCTTTGCTTATTTAAAAGTAAGGTGGAAAATGGCAGAAGAGTCTGACCTGATTTGCAGTCTGTGTCCCTTATAGCTTAGGCTAGCCCTTAAGTCTTTTCCTTTACTAGATGGTTAGCAGTGGCTGGCTTATGGCTGTGAATATGGGTCACAGATGAGTCAGGCCGCCTCAACTAGTTCTGCTTCCTGTTTTCCATATATAGCGTCCCGGCTTTTTCTCTTGCTAGCCCATAGAGCTTTGCCTCCACTGGGTGTGAGCATTCCTTGCCAGCCTTCAGATACTGAACATTTTTAACAGCCTGCAGGGAACAGTGTTTTCAGGCAGCTCTTTGCAAACACTGAGTTTCTTCAGCTGTAGAAGGGAATGTGCCTTCCCAAATAAGAATGAAGAATACGCCAAATATAAGCAGTTGAATAGCACTGGAGTTATTTTTAGGAACCTGATCACTCCATACAGGAAATGATGGTGTTACCAGTGGATTATAGCTAGTGACTATAAAACAACATTATTTCTTTCCTCATTTAACCACTTTTGAGTATCTTGAGAAAAGTTAACAGTTACCATCTGGAATTAGGAACAGCTTGATTTTAGGCCAGATTCATTAGGGAGTAGAAAAAATAGGTTTCCCTAAGAAAGGTTATGTGTGGTAAATAAAACCTCTCCCCTGAACCCCACCCTACACAAATTGATCCCCAAAACATATTATCTAAGGCAGAGGTTTTGCCCGACAGAGTTCTTGCCTCGTGCTTATAAATGGGAGACCATGAACCTCCTAAAATTATAGGCAGGATTTCATTTATGCATATATATCTGCATTGTTCTGGGTTTAATGGCATCTTACCCCCAAAACATTAAGAATCACTATTTTAAGCACAGATATGATCAGTACCTTTCATCGACTAAGTGCCCTGGAATTTTGAGTTGCATATTGATTAGTCTTATCTAAAACAATATTTAAAACATCAGATAGTTCTTCTAAATATTTTGTTATTATAAGATTTTCACTGCATGTTATTTAACCCGCTAAGGGTACAATAGAAAAATTAGAATCTTCTGTGGTCAAACTGTGCAATGAAAGAATATGTTGTTTGTGTTTACTTTTCAAGGGAAAATACACTTCAAAGAGAAACTAGAACTTTGAATTTTAAATTTCCAGTTTCCATACTAGGACTTAAACGACTTCAATTATATCTAAAAATCAGCCTGTTGTAAAACTGTTGTAAATTTTCAGTTAGATTGTGAGCAATTCTAAATAAAATTTAATTATATTTCCTAATAATATTTTCCCTGCAGTGTTTGGAAAAACAAGTCCTGTGACACTTCTACTTTAAGATTTCTGAATTGTTGTTGGCTGATGTCATAGGCTGTTCCCTGTATGATTATAAGAATTCCCTATTTAGAACTGCTCATGGCTGCCAGTTGGATAACATTTTAAGTTGAAAGAATTTTGCATTTTGTATTGTTTTATTGTACTAGAATGAAATAATCTTAGTCTGAAAAGTTTTGATGGTCTAGTACTTTAACATTTTTGTATTCCTGACTCTTTTCTTCATTTAACTAAGTTTATACCAAAGTCCTCAATTATCATTCTCCTTTTATGATAAAATAAATCCTTCATTATCTATAATTGTCCAGTAGCTCCAAC